TTTCCTGGTTGGGAGCATGGATGCAGGACAAACAGGCACTGGCGATGCAGACCTTCTCATGACGCTGCCCCAGCCCCCAAGCACCCAGCACATGTGTATGCAGGAAGCTGGTTAAAAAGAGAAGGAAAAGAGATGCAAACAATCTGCATCTGCCTCCCCCCAGCAATCACACTGCTGCTGGAGCGCCAGCCCTGCGACTGGTGTGGGAAAAGATGGGAGAGGAGCATTCCCTCCACCCACCTGCAAACCATCCCCGCCTCCCCACCGCTGCAAAAAGCAATTTCAGTTGCTCTGATTCATAGCTGGGCTGCAAATTACAGGCCAGCTCTCCGCTGCGTGGAGCGGCACAATCCTGCTAATCACTGAGCTGGGTGAGGGTCAGCTCCCCAGCCTCGCCACATTGCTGCACGTGTTGGGTGCTGCAAGGCTCTGAATCCAAACTCATTGCCACGAGCGAGGGGAGAAGCAGCTCCTTCCTGGGGACAGAGGCACATGGGGACCATGGGAGGCCACCCCTCACCAGGAGCTTGAAGGGCCATTTCTCCATAGCACAAAAAAAAATGCAGGTGGAAAGTCCTACAGTGTTGCTTGGTTTTCCCCAAATGCACCAGTCTCAGGTACTAAACCTGTTAGGGAACTTTCACTTTCTGCTTTGGAAGGGATGCACTCACACCTCTTTCCTACATATGATCAACCCGAGAGGTCGGATCCCCAACCCCATCCCACCATATTCCTCAGTGCTACATCTCCATGTTTCTTGCACGCCTGCAGGGATTGTGAGCCCACCACCTCAACAGGCATCTGTGCCCAAGCACTCTATGGGAGAAGAAATTTTTCCTAACATCCAACCTGAACCACCCCTGGCACAATACGAGGCAATCTTATGTTCTAAGAGCTGCTGTTCCCTACACTGCAGTCCCACAGCCACAATCACATAACGGAGACTCGCAGCAGGAGCAAAGCACAGGAGGACAGGGCCAACATCAGGCAGGTGGTTTGAGGACACTGAGTAACACGGTCAAATCCGTGGTTTCATACCCCAGCTCTCCTCTAACCCAAAAGCACCTCGGTGGGTGTGCAATGTAAATACTATATACACGTAGCCCAGGTCACTGTAATCCCATTAGAGCCGAGCACCAGCTGATTATGTGCATCTACTGCATTTAAGCCGATGAAGCGGGGTAAGATCGCACATCCCCTAAGAAGGTCACATGTCACATTATACCGGATCAACTTATTACACACAGCACTTCCCCCCACTCCCTTTGTTTTCTCGTTCTTCTTTTTAAACTCAAGCAACCTCCGTTATGGATAACAGTTGCCTCCACATTTTTAAGATTAAAAAGATGATAAAGTGCCTTTTAGCAAGGAACATCTTTGTCCCAGCCCTCCTTGCAGCTGGAGCTCCAGCAAAGAACGCTCCTCCAGCTCCACCCATGGCTCAGCATCAGCTGGTGACTGCCACCAAGCTGCCAGTCCCAAGTTCTCCTGCACAGAGCTCAGAACCCAGATGGGGGCTCCACGGGCAGCACCAGGACCTCCCACCCCACGGCACAGGACTGCTCCCAGTGGCCTTGGCTGTACCTGTGTGGGAACGCAGGTGCCTCTTGAGGGCAGTGTGGCTGGGAAAGGTGCGGTTGCACTCGCTGCAGATGTAGCTGCGCACCCCGGCGTGCACCTCCATGTGCTGCTGCAGGGCAGTCTGCGTCTGGAAGCGCTTGCCGCAGAGCAGGCAGAAGACAGCCATGTCTGTACCTGCAGGAGAGGAGACAGAAAAGTGAGGAAGTGTCTGGGGGTCTCCCAGGGGTGGTTGCGAGGAAGGGGACTGCGAGCCCCAGTGACCGCTCACAGCCTCCAGCTCTCTTGTTACAGACAGCAGCCTGCTTTCCACACCTGCCCCGTTCGCCTGGTGTGCTCAGCTGCACACACAGCATCCTTGGATGGAAAGAACTCCTGAACAGGGCACAGACCCACAGCCCTCACTCCTAGGGGGCAGCAGCAGGGCTGGCACTGGGACTGCAGCAATTCCAACCCTTCAGCATAGAAAAGAAGTGCAAGGAGAGAGCAGAGGGATTTTATTGCCTTGGGTGCAGCTGGAAATCCCTTGTAGGCTTGCATCTCCACGCCCCCAACCCAAATGCGAAGCACCTGCTTGGATAATTCCCCATGTTGGGATGGGCTGCATGCACCTGTGTGAGACACAGCCCCTGATGGCAGGTGGAAACAGGACCCAAAGAAATGACAGTTGGATGCCTGAGCACCATGCAAAGCTGCTCTGGGTAGCAGTGGGCTGAACACAGGAGGACCACGTGCACACCCTCAGCACTGCTTGTGACCCTCAGTGATAATACCACCAGAAGCTTAATCCTATGAGCCACATACACAATTATAAAATTGGCTGCATCAACAGAAGAGTACATAAAAAATAAACACCAGCACAAAAATAGAGATACTTACACACAGTCAATAAAAATATAAGACCTTTGTGTTATTAAACAGTTTGTTTTAGTTTATGCATAGCTGATTGTTCAGAACCTATGAGTCAGTGCAAATTGTATTACGCTGGGAGATTAAGCAAATAAATGCTAGCTTTTTTGGAGACATTAAAACGTGAGGACTATGGAAATAAAATTATCTAGAAAATTGTATTAGCAATTCATTAGCGGCAGCAAGATGTTCAAGGTAACCAACAAACACCTTTAAGAAACAGTAGGGAAAGGGAGGGCTGCTCTTTGCAGTGCCAAAATTAACCTGAGGGGTGGTGAGGACCAAAGCCACTGCACACAGGGGTGCTGGAGGAGCTCTGGGCACTGTGTGCCACTGGCACCCGCAGTGCTGTGGATGGATCCCTGGCTGCAGCATCACCCTGCTGAGCACAGGGGATGGGTCCAGGCTCGGTGCTACTGGCAAAATGCACCAAAAGTAGTGCAGAGATCCTGCACAGCCCAAGGAGCAGGAGTGCACGTGCACCGGCCGTGCTCCTCCGTGGGCAGGTTCCACATGCCCTTGTGTGCAGCGAGTTGGCTCGGTGCCGGCCATCCCCTTGGTGAGCTGTGCACCGTGCGAGCGAGCGAGGCTGAGAATATGAAAATAAATGAGCAAAACAGAAATAAAACCACACAGCAGCGAGGTGGCCCCGGCGGCGATGCTGCTGCCTCCCTCCCCGTGGATTTATCCGGGGGACGCGCGCTTGCTCGCAGCTGCAGACAAAACTCTCCCAAGAGCCCTGGAGACACAAAGCCCATCCGAGCGGGTGGTGCGGAGCAAATCCTGCACGGTATGCAGCCCGGCCGCGCTCTCACGGTGACAGCAGGACGGGTCAGAGGTCGGCGGGGCCGAGCCCCTGTGCCGCAGCCAGCTGTGCCGCGGGGGCCCCGGCCGGCGGGATGCCAGCCCCCATCAATCCGCCGGGAGCAGCCCTGCTGGGGCCGGGGACAATGGGCTCCTGCGGGGGTGGGGGCAGGACAATGCGGCCGGGCCAGTGCGCAGGCCCGGAACAAATCCTCCCTGGCACCATAGGGCCCTCATTTGTGAAACTAATTGGCCCCCGCTTGAAAAATTGGGCTATGTTGGGCCGCCGTGCTGGAGAGGAGCTGCCTTGTGTGGGGAGCCCCGCTGTCCAGTGGGATGTGGCTGCAGGGCTGGGGATGGTTGGATGGGGATGGGTGGCCAAGGATAAGGTGACACGGATGAGGATGGGTGGCCAAGGACAAGGTGACAGGGACGGGGATGAGTGGCAGGGGACAAGCTGCAGCCCGCATCCCATTGCGTGCCCAACTGCGCTGGGATGGGGAGACGTGGGGTTTGCAGCCAGGTGATACAGCAATGCAGCTCCACAGCCACCACGCGCTGCATCATCACACAGCACGTGGGCACCGTCCCGCTGCTCCAGGCACCTCCAAGCGGGATGCGCAAGCGGAGCCCACCACTCAACCATACCCACCTCCAAAAGCACAGCTGGCAAGGCACAGGACCTGCTGGCAGGAGAAAAAGGGGTGATGCTGGAAAAGCCCCACCTCCCCGCGGCGGCACCCCGTTGGCTTTGGAGCCGTGGGGACGTTTCAATGCGTGGCCATTGAAAGAAAAATCACCCCGGATAAATAAACACCGCCGCCGCCGCCACGTAGGCACAAAAAGAGGAAGACGGATTTATTCATTTCGCTGACGTTTTAATGGTTTCTCTCCCTTTTTTCGGGAAGATGATTACAAATTAAGCAGCATTTAAACGCTTTTTACTGTCAACAATTAAAAGGGGCGAATATGGAACAGAAAGTGCGGTGACCATTCATTTCCAGGGAAACGCGGCTATCAGCGAACACCACGGGGCCTTCCCTGTACTGTACACTGCACAATGGCAAAAAGTATACCATTAATTTTGTAGGACATTCAAAAGCAAATTAAAATATAAAAAGCTCTAGGCACAAAGATAGATACCAAGAGAGAGGGCAGAATAGGTCAAGCTTGTGGAATTAAAGTCTTAGCAACAGTGGAGGTTTAAGCACAGCCCTATTACGCCGCATTCAATAGCCACCTTCTCCCATCTTCTCTTTTTTCTCCTCTCAGAGCCGATGTGCTGTTTGCCTCCAGCCTGCAGCAGTAAACAATTAATACCGCGTGTAGCAGTGCTGCGGGTTTCCAAGGCAGGAGCGACAGGCTGCCATGTAGATGAGATCCTGGATGCAGCATTAACTATTTGGAAGAGAGCGCCGCCCGCTCCGTGCGAGGCAGGTTTAAATAACAGGTGATGGGAGATGTGATTTTTGCAGGATTGATGCTTGCTTAAGGGAGGAAAAGCCCTGAGAGCGCAGCTGTGCGTGTGGATCTCTACGCTTTGCTTTCCAGGCTCCCCAAAAAAGTGCTTTTCCCCGTGTCTTTAAAGGCAAGGGAGATGCATTTCCCATCACTCAGGGACTCCCCTTTTCAAACTTCAGGTGAGGAATGCTAAAATCACCACAGCACTGAACACAACACTTCTTCCATGCTCTGACTCCACACTAGAAGGAATTAAAATGAAATTCGCTCCGAGACACGTAGGCATATGGCAAGGAACACAGGTTTGCTTTTCCTCTTATTTTTAAAAGGCGCCCGGTGCATTTCCGTACCACAAAGTTTAACATGCCGGAGGTTCGCCGAAGAAATAAAAGAGACACGTCCCCTTTAAAAGGAAATATAATTTACAGTGTGCAGCCAGGCGGTCCATAGTTTCAATCTCGTTTACTATAGAGAAAACTCTGCTAGCTGTTCTCTATCCCACAAATCCGATTTAATCAGACAAGCCAGCCAGCGTGGCTTGAAGTAAAAACGGATAATTAGTAAACAGAGAGCTACTTCAGTGCTTCATTGGCATTCGAGCCGGGCTAGTGTGTCGCATTTAAAATGCAGTCTGATGAAGTTTACAAAATCAAACCATTTGTTACTCCTATTGAAGAGGCTTCAGGCCACTTGCAATTAAATTGGAATTAGTGCTCAGAATGAGATACAGCAAATTCATACTAAAAAGGGATCTGACTTTGAGACGTTTGACTTCAAGTTTTCCCCTCTGCGTGTGTGTGCGTGTGCAAGAGATGTGGCTGCTCCGTCCCGGCCCTCGCCTCCAGCTCTTGCAGCCCCAGCACTGGGACCCGGGTGCAGGAAGGTGCCCCAGGGCATTGGTGCCAATGAAACTTGGGCACTTATGAGCACCTGGAGAAGGCACCAGGACTGCAGAATATTCCTGCTACGCCCTATGAAACACCCATTGCGTTTTTGTTGCTTCTGGTGGCTGGCTGTTCTGTCTGTCCATCACCATAATAATTATTATCATTATAAATCTTTTATCAAAGGCTCTGGCACAACAGTGGGTGCAAACGTACAGTGTAGGCTACCAGCAGGGCAAGGCGTTGCCTGCTGCCTTCATGGTAACACCTCCAGCATTCCCACGATTGCAGAGCATCCCCACAGCCAGCCCCAAAACATCCCACACTGAACAACAGCAGCACAATGACATCAGCATTAGCTGTGAGCTACGCAACTAAAAGATGCATTTATATACGTCCACGTGCACACACACACCCCACATGCACACAAATCCCAGCTGGTCAGTGCCTCCAACAAAACAGTCTTCACTTACTCTTCATATTGAATGTCTTAAACTATGTGCATGCAATAGAGGCATGCAACAAAATTGTTGTTGCAATCGCTAAGAGTGAAGTGGAAGGCTCCAAAAATTCTTGGTACGCCAAACAAGAGTCCAGGGATTGTTGGCTCTTGCTAGATTAGATTTCAGAGATGTTTGGAATTTTTTTGTCACTGTGTCAATGGCTCCTTCACAGCCACCGGCTGCTGGACAATGCAGAGAACGCTGGAGTTTGACTGCATGGAAGCAGGGGGAGTTTTTATCAGCCTTGGTATCAGGGTGCCATGGGTAACCTTCATCCCCAATTGGCTTTGACTCACGTTGGCCAAGAGCAGATGTCCTAGCAGAAGTGAGGTGGACAAGTGATCATAAAACCATAGAGGTTTGGAAAACAATAAGGTTGGAAAAGATCTCCCAGATCACCAAGTCCAACCCCAACCCATCCCCACCATGCACACATGTCCTCACGTGCCACATCTCCACATTTCCTGAACACCTCCAGCACGGTGACTCCCCCACTTCCCTGGGCAGCTGTTTTCTGAGAAGAAATTTTTTCTAACATTCAATGATTTTCCTTGATGATCAACCACTGCTCAGAACAGCATCAAGGGACAGGACTGAAAGCTATCAGAGCAGAGGGACTTGGGCACATACTTTAGACCTCTTAGGCAGTGGGATCTCCAGGGATGTGCTGGAGGAGGGGACACTGCAGTGCACATCCTGTTGGGATGAGGAAGAGGAGGAGGAGAAGGGGGGAAGGTGAGGCAGACATTGCTGGCCAAGGCAGCGGCGTGCTGCGATTGTGCTTTGCCCCACCAGTGTCAGACATGAGCTTCTGGCGTAAGGAGATTAACCTAGTTTTGGTAACCCTTTTCCTGATTATTGAAAGGAAAAACGGCATTAGTAGTTGGCAGCACCAAAGAAAGCTCATACAGAAAAGCCCCACGATGACAGCTCTGTCCTGGAAACCGCTTCCTACATACAGAATGCACTGCACACACAGATACACGCACTGTGTACGATGCTGCACCAGCCCTTGGCAAACCCATCATGCCCTCCTCACAGCCCTTCTGCAGGAAACAAAGGCATTACCATCCAGGAAATGGAAACCAGAGACGTCCACCTGGCTGCCCCACAGACAGAGAGGGGAAAACCCATGCAGAAAAAGAAATGAGACACTCATTTTGTGCTGGAATCACCAAATCATCCCAGTTTCAACTGCTGCCTCTGGACTCCACAACTGAGCTTTCATGCTAATTAACATCTTTATGGAAGGCAAACTCTCTCAAGGGGGTATTTGTTTGATTATTATTATTTACTCAGAGATACTACAGCTTTCTTCCCATGTTTAACTGACTGCAAAAATTCATTCTTACAAAGCAGCACAGGCAGCTGCCTCCTGTGCCGCCCGCTTCCCCTGCAGGTTGGGTGGCAGAGAGGGATGCCCTGGCATGGAGGATGGGGATGCTTCTTTACAAGAGCACGTGCACACATCCTCTCTTCTTTTAACCAGCACTGGTTTATCAGACCTGGAGAAGCTCAGATATTTAAGAGCACGTGCATACGAAAGGATACTGTAAACAGAAAGGTGAAGCACCAACGTGAATTACATGGCATCACAGAACATCCCTGAGTCAGAAGGGAGCCACGGGGATTGGGCAAAACGGGCACCGCAGGCTGAGCCTGAAACCTGGAAGGGAGACAGTGCCCAAAGAGGAGGAAGAAGAAGATTCCCCAAAAGCAGAGGGGCGGCACAAAAAGCAAAGCGGGCAGCGGCCGCGCGGTGACGTCTTTGTCGGTGCCGCTCTCGCAGCCGGTGAGCGCCGAACAAACGCTGCTGCCCGGGAAGCTCGCGCCCGCCGGAGGTGATTTATTCCGAGGGCCATCTGGACAGGGGAACAATGTGGTCCCATATCTGAATGACCCGGCGCATTAGTCACACCCTCCTCGCTCGACCTCTCCGTCCCTAATCTTCACACTTGCTCTCATTCTCCTTTAGTGAGGCAAAATGACCGGATCCGCTTCTCACCTCTCTTTTGGCTGGCGAAGTTCACAGGGCTGGGGGAGACAAAAGGCCCCGCGCCTCGCTGCGTGCCAGGGCTCCCACCCCATGTCCATGGGGTCCAGCATCACCCCGTGTCTGTGCTGAGCACCGGGGCACCTTGGGACATCACAATCCCCACTTCTCAGCCCTTCGTTCCCCATCAGGAAGGCCTACACCAGCTCCTCTCTCTCCCCTGCCAGCCTTCATCCTCCTCCTCAGTTTACCTCTTTATTATACTTTTCTGCCATCGCTCTACCAAGAATTATTACATGGGAGGAAAAAAAAAAACAACCAAGCAAACATCAAGTGACTATTAGCAGTGGTAGCTTTATTGCAACAGGCGCAGAACTCATTCGTTTCATGTTTTGCGGAATATAAAAGCACTGAAACATTTTAATTTTAAATTCTTATCATTGAATTTACTGCTTTTCTCTCGCAATGATTTGTGTTGCTTTTTAATTTTTACAGTCTCTACAGAAGCCAGATGCTACCGCCTAGGGCCAAAATAATAAAAACCTACTGCAGTCATGAGTTACAGAACAAAAAAGAAACACACAGTTGACAGAAGTTAATATCTCAATTTAACAGTGCTGCTTTGCTAATGATCCTTTGATATGTGTTTATTTAGAAAGGTCTGATCTTGACCTTGAAAGCAAACTAAACCACAAAGTCTTTATGAGACGAGAGAAAGACTTTATTTATAGAATGGCTTTATGTCAATCAGGGCGGCAGCTGGACTCGAGGTGAAAAATTGCTCAGAAGTGAGCGGGTTCGTACCCAAAGTGTTGGTTGCAGTGCGTGTATCTGGGAGGGGGCACTCATTCCAGATGAGGACTATGGCACAATGCACTCCCCAAGTCAAGACACAAAGCCCACAGAGTGGTGCAGCCTGCTGACCGCGCACCGCATCCACCAGGAGTGCCGGCACCGCTGGGACAGGTTTTCCTCCCCAGGAAATCCAGGATTGCACAAAGCTTGTGTTTTGAAATGAAAATAAGAATGGCTTCTTTACGGCACAATTACATTTTACTGCGATTCTATGCCGAGATTTCCCAGCTCCTATTGCTGCGCGAGGCTGGGAGCGCACTGGGGAGATCTCACACCAGCGGCGCTCTGTGTGTTCAATTCTAATTCCATGTCTGAGGTCAAACAGTGATTTGAAGACATTTACCAACGCTGAGCCTTCAGCACTGCCTCCTTGTCTTCGCAAAGCCTTGGTGCCAAGGCCCTTCTTATCAAGTCTGTATCCGTGCCATTCAGGTGGCCAAAAACTGAGCGCATCAAAGGAGCCAACCTCCACTTTTCAGCACTGAATGCACTCACTAGGCACTGTGGTACCAGTTAGTCACCAAAGGAACTGTGATGAGAGGAATATAAGCTGCTCCACAGAGACCGCATGGAAGGGCACGAGACGGTGATGTTTCCGTCCTTCTGATGCTAAACAATGCAAATTCGGGACTGAGGCAGTTACAAAAGACCTCTTTGCATGTTGACTAGAGAAATAAATGCTGCTGTAGAGTCCCATCTGGCCCAGCAGCTGAATGGGGAAAGCTCAGTGAGACAAACGGGTCTGAATTTAGACACAGGCAAGAGACAGCAAAGATATTTCAGCCTTAAACCAGGTATGAAAGATGGCAAGCACAGCCGTAGACAAAGCCTAGGGAAACTCTGCCCTGGCACAAGCTTGGGCTGCCCAATTCCTGGCCCATATTTCCCAGGGAAAGAAGTTTCACTTGATGGAGGCACACCCACCTGTGCTCAGCATCACCCTTGGAGCAGGCATTTCCCCACTGAAGGAGCACTGTCGTGGTGTTTTCTGCCACCACATCGCTGGGGAAGCTGTCATCTCACTGCTTACTCATCGCCACCACTAAGGCTGCCTGCATTTCTCTTTCCCAAAAGGAATTTCAAATGGAACCAGCTGAAAAAATAACTTGATTCGCTGCCGAAAACACATTTTTCCCATGGCTTGCTGAATGATGGTTCAATTAATTTGCTCAAAACCACTCAGAGGTCTCCATCCTTACACAAAGAGCCTCAAGGAGGAGACGAAATCCTCACCAGTTAAATGCTGGCCCCTGGTGTCTTTCTGGCTGGAGAGTCTCTACCTCAAGCATTTTCCAACTGGAAGCTGTATTTCCACAATTTTCACTCTTTTTCCCCTCATTCCTGCTGGAAATGTGTCTTAACTCAGTGACAGCACTCCCATCCCACCCAGTGCCACAGAGCATCCCCCATACATTTCCATGGTACAAGTTGCATTTGTCTGGGTTGTCAGTGAGGGGCAGCGAGGAAACACGGGGCAGCCCTGGTTGCCAAACCAGCAAGTAAAACTGTCCTTAGGATGCTGTACAGAGGGCTGCTGAGAGACACAAAGCAACATTTCCTAACATCCGCTTTTTATTCCAGAAGCTCCATTATTTAAAATAAAAAAGAAAAAAGAAAAGAGATGAAAAAGATCTCGCAGCCAACTCATGAAGATGTGAAAGTATAACGGAGAGAAACATCTCCACTTTCTTCATATGTTTTTATATTTTTTTAAGTGGGGAGGACAAGGATCCCAGGACACAAAAGTAACTGGTAAGGTAAGTTAAACCTTGTCAAGATGAACTTTCCTGCTACTTTTAATTAAAAGTTCTTTAGAATTAAAAAGGACACTATTCAGAAAAGACTGAAAAAAAAAATTCATTGACACCAGCCCGCCCCCCTCCCCTTTTTCCCAAGGAAAAGAAAAAGCTGTTTTTGTGTGTCTGCTCACCCAGCCCTCACTGTACAAAAGGAAGCGGATTTGCAGCAAGACACATGAGATGACCCTTTGACCCTAAACTGCTGAAAAGTCCTCAATGGCATAAATACCAGATAATCAATCACATACCAGGAGGGCTGGTCCCCCTGCCCTTACCCCAGTGGCCGAGTTTATGAGAGATGCACTGTAAATGGACACCAGCTTTTTAAGGGAGGCCCCTCTCTGCATTCCTCCACGGAGCCGGAATATTTTCCTCAGGCCGGGAGACCCTGGCCACCTAGTTTTACACATTTCATCACTATCTGATGCAGCCCCACAGTGCTCCTCGCCGGCACATCCGGCAGCACCAGCACTGCGGCCTCTCCCTGTATGGAGGGGATGAAAAATGTTCATCCCAAATGGATGGGATGCACAGTGCTCATCCTGTATGGAGGTGCTACAAAATGTTTCGTCCCACACGGAGGCAACGCAAAATGCTCACTCCAAAAGGAGGGGATGCAAAATGCTCTCCTCGTATGAAACTGATGCAAAATGCTCACTGCAAATGGAG